TGTGAAAACTCATTTCCGTTAAWAAAGAAGACAAAGATAAAATTGCCTACGTTTTGGTGTAGGTACTCACAAAATAAAATATTACGCCTTTATTTGTTCAAACACAATATAAATTTCACGTATTCGAATTTCCTTAGTAGTTAATTTAATGAAAATATCGTGGATAATGGTTGTATTTTATAAATTTACTCGTTTTCAAATTGCCTAAAACAAAATAAGAAAATCATTGATGAATAATCTTTAATACTGGCGAATATTTTCAATTGGATACACGCATATAAGAATTTTATTTTTAATATTTTTAAATTACTAATGTAACAATATATTATATTGTTGCTAATATAGCTATAATAAATATCTCCTAACTTTTTTTGAACATAAGATGTTAGACCATTGATTATTTATAATCAATGGTTAAACATAGGATATTCAATCGTAATAATAAACACATTTTCATAATACAACTACAATTTCTTTATTTTTTTGTTATTCGAAAACTATTAACCTTAGGTAATTGAATTGTTTATCAAATTGTTATTCTATTATTTTCTATATAACATGAAATTGTATAAATATTTTTGACTAGCCTTGTGATATTTATAAACATTTGAAATTTTAATTTTTCTTAGTTTTTTATCATATTTAATGTCAATGGCATTTTATTAGTTATTGTTTGAACTTTGAACATTTAATACAAGTTTCTTTATAAGTTGTCATGATATCAGTTGATAAATATTAAAGATCTATTGATATGATATTTTTTTAACAAGTATTCTAAGTTAAAATGTTGACAAAAGTTATAAAAAGTTTGAGAATTTCGAATATTTTAAAATTATTGTATTGTTGAAAAATTATAAAATGTTCAATTTTCATATCTAAGAATTGAAAATTTAAAATAAGGGTTCTTATAAATAGTTCATATTGTATCCAAAAATCTAAAAATATATAAACAGAGTTATATTTCTAATTCCCTTACATTATACTCTTCAAAAAATCAATGTATGACATACAAATAACAAAAATATTATACGGCGTTACAGATAGGCAACTCTAATGTCGTACATCCATCTCTCCGGTATTTTTCATATTGTGAAGGGTTCAAATTTTAAAGCTCAAAATATGTACATAATACATAATAAATATTTGTTCAAAATACGTATAAAAGAAAATTCAAATTATAAAAAAAAATCTATAAACACTTTAAATAATCTATAAAGAAACAATGACAAAATTGTTTTAGGTATAGGTAGTTACCTACGTTATGTAAGTCTCATAACTAACATAATTATGTTTAATGTAAAATTATTACATAAATAAATTATTAAAAAGAAGTGTTACCTGCATGTGTTATCTCTGTCTTACCATTGCGTACATAGCAAAAACTGCTTAGCGCGGGATAAAAGTTATATAACCTCTCAGTCTGTACTCCTAGTAGAAACACAAAAAGTTAACATAATATAGAATATAATATTTTCTGTGTTGTAGCGTTTTTATTTTTTTTACATCATTAATGAGAAAAAAGTGATCTTTTAAAGTTTTCCAAATTTTAATACCTTTTGATACATTGGTTTTATCGAAAAAATAAAAACGCTGCGACATAGTTAAAATTCTCCTTTTTTATGGGGAAAATTTGGTTTCTTAGTTATATACTTCTCGGTTCTTTCCCGCACGATACAGTTTTTGTTATGTTACACACTTGTAAGACGGAAACAACAATAATTTGCTGAAGTTTTCATATTGATATATTAATGCAATAAATAAATACATTTTAAACGTACTTATTACCCGAAATTTTATATACATATATATATATATATATTTTTTTTTTTTATCGTTTACAACTTCGGCAACAAAGGCCATTAGTTATTTTATTTTTTACATTACGTTTGCTTACATGTTTAGATTTGGTTATAAATATTGGTTTGCTTGAGGAAGTTAAAAAAATTTTATACCTATTACATACTAACATATTACAAATTTACAAGTATAACATTTTTTGAGATGAACATATTATAAGTGATTTATCTGATTTTAAATAACTGTGAAAACACGTACTTATTTATTTACAATAATATATGAAATATATATATGTATTATTATATAAAACAAAACAAAAATAATWATTTTTTTTGAAAGTATTTAATACTGCAAAGTTAGAAAATTATACTTTGAACATTTTTACTTAATGATATAGGTATAGGTAAGTTATTAATTTTATTAGATTTTAAAGCCGTATTCTCGTATTATATAAGTTTCCGACTTTACTTTTTAGACGTTGTTAACAACTGAATAAATAAATTCCAATCATCTACATTGGTCATGTAATCAATTGATAAGCAATAAAATTAATAGAAAATTTGATGTATATGAATGTTCGTACCTAACTGTATATCTTCAACATTTATGGTTATTGACTAAAGCAGGAGCATATTTGGCCACAATATAGGTTTCAATATTTTGATGAACAGACTTTTTTGAAGAACTTTTTGGGCTTGGGATTTGGCTTTTTTCACGATTATAGGTTTTAGTTGGATATCATTCTTTTTTACAAGCTTTAACACGGTTCAGGGTGCCGTTTTCTTGGATTAAACCATAATAGTATGCTGCAGTACAAACTACAAATAGTGTTAACTATAATACCTCATGGTMACTGGTTGTCGATTTAATGTAATTTCATACATTTAGAAGTAACTCTCCTAAAACGACATTAAGTTTAAGAAAATTTCAATTTTTGGTTTAGGTCTTATATTGTATCAAATTTCATAATACCTATCTTCCTATTGTCGTGTAGTGCTCACAAAATAGGTACATTGTATCTTTAACTAAGAGTTAATTTTTACTCTTATCGTCAAAACTAATAAAATATTTGAATTGCTTATCATCGTTTAAATTAATTAATGGATGTGGGTATAACATGCAAATTTTGTAAACCTTATAATGCGAACTTATATATACCCCTAAAATTCCAAAAACTATAAAAAAATTGAGATGTTTAGTTGTTTTACTTTATTTGATCTATATTACATCTACCTTTGTGCAAAATGTTTCTACATAAACGGGAGTACCTATAGTATATTATCTACTGAATCTCATTGTTTTTTTTTTTACATATTTTAATCTTAAAATATTCATAACTTTCGCTTTGAAATAAAAATATATTGACAAACCTGTGAGATACCTTACCTACTTAATAATAGCTAGTATTACTTCTATATTAATTAGATTCACTGTAATATTAAACATAACAGTGTTAAATGCATGGGTTATTCAGAACGTACAATATTTACCATGTTATATTGTAAGACGGCGACAACRCAKAATTCGGGTAGTATAGTSTCCACCATGAAGACTAGAKATAAGGAGGCCAAACTCTGCTGGCCGCCTGCACAAAAATTRGTTCTATAAAACATCGTAGACTAATTTCTACACTAGTCTGCGTAGCGGTCAAATCCGAGGCTGGCTTGAAGTATAATTAACCCGTATTAGATAGGGATATACTTGACTTTATTATCTTTAAAAAATTWTAATTAAAAAACTAAAAATGGTATTTAAATTAGAATTTCAACATCGTATTCAGCGCAAATTTATCTTTAAGAATAAATTACAAAAAAATAAAAAAATAATATTCTGTATTTACGTTATACATTTTATTTTTAAATTAAGTATTTAAATTATTTATATATAGACATATTGGTGCATATTATTTTAGAGTAGTAGATTCATATTTACGATATCAATTGATTCACCAAATTGAGCAAATATTGATAAAAAAAAGTTGCACTTAAAGTTTACGATATTTTTACGTGTTATGTTAATTATGAAATTAAACTAAGTTTTACATAAAAATATTTAAAAATGAGTCGAAATTGTTATGCCCCTGGTTGTTCAACTGGCAATTCTAAAGACAAAAAAATATAATTTGTTAAGTGGAATTCAATGGAAAAAAAGGAAAGTATCCAAACTGTAATAAATAATAAATACCTAATATATKTACCTAATACCTACTGTTACATTTTTACTATTTGTATGTGAATTTWTTAYGTAAATATAGATCATTAATATAWTTTTTGTAATTTTATCTTAAAGATAAATTTRCGCTGAATACGATGGTAAAATTCTAATTTATATACCATTTTAGATTCTGAGCGGAGCAATTATGAATGTATTGATTTTACCATGATGTGTGTGTGTGTTTTTTTTTTTGCCTGTCGTCACGTTTTGGGGCAGTAAAAATGCTTCGATTTTTGACTTCAATACCTCGTTCGATCAGAAAGTGAATCTAGTTGGTACTTTGGGAGGTCAAAAGTAAAAAATTCTYAATACTTTTCTAAATAATCAAGAAAAACAAACTAAAAATTAAGAGAAAAACGGGAAATTTTACGCACACTAATTTTTCGACAAAATCTATTTTGGTTGTAAYTTTAAAACAAATGACCATAGATACATGAAATTTTCACCAAATGTTTAAAATTTTCGACTTAAGTTGAACTATTCATAGGCATTTGAAATTTTCGATCATTATT